GTCACGTGTTTCGAAGTGCGGCGCTAAAGCTGAAAATCGGTAGCTCTCGGTAGGCAAACCAGCTACAGTTCGACCAACATGCATGTCACCAGCAGCCTCGTATCTCAAATAAGTATTCTGTACCCCACCAAGTAACCAACCAGCACGCAAATGAACTGCCGTCGACGATGGGCATGCTGTTGAGCCCGACGAACAGAATGTTGCTGCGCCCTTCCGCATTGAGTGAGTACCTAGCTTGGTGGAATTCAGGCCCTGGCGCTGTAATTCGGCTGACACATCGTCTTGATCTAATAACCGGATCCAACACCTGCGGAATCTGTCGTACTGGTTGTTTCCAGGGAAAAGGAGATCACTTTCGTCAGAATTCGTAGCTGCCCAATAGAGTCCGAGAGCAACAATAGGGCAGATACCTGGCTGCAGTGGGTTGGCATATACATGTCGGGGATCACGAGGGCGATCGCCACCTTGATCGTTCTTAATATGAGCGAAGTAAATATGTAGAGCATCGCCCCTCCACTCCATGTGTGAATGACGAATGCCAAATGCATTAGACGAACGGCACATCAAATTTCAGGCAATCACCATGTACGCATGAGCAAAAATCATCTCCTTATTTTCGTGAGCCAGCATCTTATCGCATAAAAATGAATAAAGGTCGAACATTAGCGGGTCCTTCCCCGTCTTGATTGCGCTCTCCCCGTTACCAGCATCCTTTGCAAGTTTGTGCTTGAGCCCCTTGAAGTAGTTCGTAAACTCCGACTCTAATGGCTTGCTCATAGTGTACCCGTAGTCGCGTAAGAGGTTGAATAGACTGGCTCTGTGGGTATTAAGAGTAGAGTAGCTCAGTACTTTCGCTCAAGTGTCACGAGCCAGGTGAAGAAGTCTTTTGCTGTGAGAGCTGCAAATTCAAGCGGCATGAGGTGCCGGTCCTGGGTGATCAGCCCCTTAATACGAGACCTCAGCTGCTGGGTAGTGAGCGTGCTGGTATTGGCGAGAGCTTCCACGAATACAGGTGGCACCAGGGGCGACTTGTTCCGGACCAACCATGCGAGAAAGCGGCAATAAGAGTTCTGATAGATATAGTTCTTGAGCGGGGGTAGACAGTGTTGTCTCGAATATCGCGAACCGTTTGTTCCAGCTTCTCCCAATCAGGGTCCTCCCTTGCCGTAAGACAACAAGTCTAACAAGTTCTGGGCGAATTGCGATCTGCGATTTGAGCCACACAATCAAACAAAGGGGCAAAATCAAGACTTCGGAAAATGTCAGACAAGGAGTCTAACTCGTACCTAAATAAATGCCTCAATGTCAAACAAAATTTGGGGAATGAATTGCCTTCACTACCCCGATACCTCGCCCAATCTCACCATGGTTAACTCTAGCAGTGGATGCAGTTTCGCGTGAACTGGATCTTAGTTGCGCTGTAACAGTTCAAGGACAGCTCCTGCACGAAATTGTTGCTGGGTCGGTGTGGTGGTGCTGTGCCGAAGCGGCTACAAGCTTTTGTCCAGGTCATTGGTGCGTGCCTGTGGCACCGTGATGTTGGCTGCAAGCAGTTCCCGTCGATCGCCGCACTTGCTCGCGTTTGGCTTGACAGGGCACCCACCAATGCATGCCAAGAGAGTGTTGTTTCGGCTGGAGCTATCGTCACGAGTCCACTGAGGACCCGAACCGACAACGAGCGTGCCGAGAAGCAGGTATTTCTCCGTTACAACCGGAATGAGATCCGACGTATACAGAACAGAGCCTGAGATCGGAGCTCACTGCATCTAAATGATCATTCTTCATGGTACTGCCGTAACAGTGAAAGAGAAAGTCGAAGGCTGAAATACTGTAACGATCAGTAGATCAGATCCAGTAGATTATCAAATCTACATGTAGACATTATATTTGAGAAAAAACGCGGTACACAAATCCGTTAGTGTTGAAAAGAAAGTTAGTGCCACTACATGTAGCACCCACCTTCTAGCACTACTATACGAGAGAAATAACATTAAGCCGTCTACAGTAGAAGTCGAATCCACAAAATTTGTAACTGGGCTACGTTAGCTCAGAGCCTTAGTCTTGTAATCTGCCACGAGCTGTGACGATGCAGCCGCCACATTCGTCACCAGAGGAGCCAAACCTTTCACAGGGATTTCAATGTCCACGTTCGGGCTCATGAGGAACTTGCAGCGGACTTCGATGTGGTGAGTTGTGTTGACGAGACTTGAGGACATTGGAGGAAGAACTGCAAA